ATTCCACTTTCCTGTTAAATAATCAATCGTTTTAGATCATACAGATCTTTTGATTTCTTGAATAATTTTTTAACTTTTGAGAAGATGACTTTACTTCATGTCTTCCTTAAATGTCACTCATTCTTTCCTTGATTCTGATATATGTTTAAATCTCCGGTTTAACTCTGTTCATGATTTTGCTAGTCGTAGAGATGCAAAGCATGCTTGGCGGGTTCAGTTGGACCTAGTATGCTGCTTTTCTTCTGCATGTTTGTGTTGGTAATCTGCAACCATTTTACTCAATACCCTGGCAACTCTTAAAATGAAACCAAGCATCAATGGGACATCTAGGGGCAAGAGGTCTGCAGCTTTGCAGGGTGAGGGGTCAAATTGGGTCCTAATTGCAGGTGGTGCTTTATTGAGTACTTTGTCAGTTCGCTTGGGCTACAAGCTCAAGCAGGTACTTGATGCAAAACAACAGAACGTAACTGGCAACACTTCTAAAGGTCTTGTATTAGACTATTGGTTCATTAATCGTGGGTTATCTTACAAGGATAATTCATTTTCTTAGTTTGTATAATTGTTCGAGTACAGGAAATGATAAACCTGCAGAGAGAAGGAAAGCTAGAAATTGCAATTTACAGTCTAGCACATACAATTTCACTCAAGATGATGACAATTGCTATAATTTCCTTTCAGGTCTGAAAATTCTTTCAGCATCCAATTGCTGCTTTTGTCTATGTTGATTGTTTAAGGCTTTATCTTGAGTTCTTCTTGTTGTATCCACAGTTTCTCTTTACTTTGCTGCTTACAGCAATGATGAAGTGCGAATTTTTTGTTTGCAGTAAATTTCAATCTGCTTTCAAAAATAGACGGAAAAAACTCCTTTGCTCCCTTCTTTCTATAAACAATTGAGCTATTATTTCCTGTTACAGCTAGGGCCTTGTGTACATGTTTTCCAGGATTCATTCTGCTCTTCCTGCTCTATTATTTTCTGATACAGCTAGGGCCTTAAAAGAACATCTTGTGTTTCACATATTCCTCGTGTTCGTGAAGAGTCTCTACATAAGACTCCTCTCCAAGTTAGTCCAAAGGTCTTAGGTGGTCTAAGAGTCTCTTGAGTAGGTAAAATGGTTAATACCTACCTTTATGATGGTGTTATGTATCTACGAAGGATGTAGGATCAAGTTATATAAAATCAATACTCAGTATACATTCTTCCACCTGAAACAAGGCTGGGTATTATTCTCTAATGGCATTCTTGCAATGTTCTATCATAATGTTTATTCAAAGTTTCCTAGGGTCTGTATGGATGGAGGGTTGGAGGGAAAGACTCCAGAAGGCCTAGTCTGTAACTCTATATGCAATTTTTATTTATTTATTGATTTTATTTTGTTTTCTGTTTTAGTTTAAATTTTTATTGGCTTTCTTTTATTTAAGGAACTCTATTGATTTATTTTGATTCAAAACACGAAAGTCAAGTGTCGTCATTTGGGCACCATTACCTTGCTATTACTTCATCATATATCACCACATTTCTTCGTATAAAAGGTTTACTAATTATGCTCTATTTCAATCTCTAATTCATCTTTTGAATAATTCATGTTCTATACATTTGATATTTACACAAATGGAAAGACTAACTTATTATGCGATCATTCAACGTTTTGGTCACCATTTATATGGTTTTTGAAATGCCCCCATTCTACTCATCAAATTATAGAGTTACGCACCAGAACCAGCTATCTAACTTCTGGTCTACTCCAACTATTCTTTGTAAAAGTTTATGCAATTCTTTCACCAATCCTAAATGAATGAACAGGAACAGGTAATGTGATGGATATGAAACATCAGTGCGGTGGCCAAGTACTGACAGAAACTGGACTCCAACTTCCTCTAGTCACTGTCCCTTCTTCCCTCGAATTAAGTAAAGACTTGAATGGCGGAGCATGGTCAACCACCACCTCTGACCGTCTTGAGCTTCCACAGAAACCATTCCACCACTCAAACAGCTCTGAGTCACCATGTGTCTCTGAATCCGGGTCTGACATTTTCAGCAAGCGAGAAGTGATACAAAAGCTCAGACAACAGTTAAAAAGGAGGGACGAAATGATACTTGAGATGCAGGAACAGATTGTGGACCTGCAGGGTTCATTGACCGCTCAGCTTTCCCATTCCTCGCATCTCCAGACTTTGCTGGATGTTGCCAACAGTGATCTTTTTGATGCAGAGAGGGAAATGCAGAGGCTAAGGAAGGTAATCGCGGATCGTTGCGTCAGGCAAGTGGATTCCTTTGGTCATTTTGAAGGAGGAAGGAATGGGTATGGAAATGGCCACTTTGTTGAAGCTGAAAGATATCTGATGAAATCATCAGAAAATGGGGGGAGAGGAGGGGATGGAGAAAGGATAGAGATGCTGAAGGTTGAAGTGGCCGAACTGAAGGAAACCATTGAAAGGAAAGAATATCGGCTGCATATGTATGAGGAGCAGAAGGCAGAGCTCTCGGCTCAGGTCAAGCAGTTGCAGCAGAGACTGGATTCTCAGCTCCCAAGCATTTTGTAAAAAATGCACTTGCATTCGATCTTGTTTGGCTTCCATCTCTACGAATAGATTTCTGTTTTCCTAGTGTGGCAGGTTAAAATTCGGCTTCATTTTTTCAGTTTTTAACCTGGTTGCTTGGCGTGGAAGTGTGAATATGTTGGAGAAAAGATGAATCATGTTCTGCAAAGCAAGCTTAAATCCCAGTATACTACTCCGTATAATAGTGTTTTAATGAGACGGTACTTTCTTAACTTGGGGCCTTGGGAAAGCAAATGGAGGAAAAAATAGAATTAACAATTGAGAGGAAAGAATAGATATTTGGAAACAAAAATATTCATTATTTGACTCAAACAGTATGAATTTATTGTACACATTTGTTCAATCATCTTCTGTTTCTTAATTCTATGATGTAAAGATCAATAAATTAAAATATGGGTGTAGTTTTTACATAAATCGTATATTATTTTCTTATGGACTCCGTATTTCTTAGGCAAAATGAATTGTAAGAAAATACGTAGTAATTCAGTAATTGTCTTAACCCTTTTTTCCCATTTCTAAAGTCGGTCGAGATCCAAAAATACGTAGTAATTGTCTTAAACCTTTTTCCCCATTTCTAAAGCGTCGGTCGATATCCAAAGTTCCAAACATACTATACACATACAATTATGTTCAATGTTTGTGACTGAAATTCAATTAGATCGCTGAATTTTCATATGTTTTGAAACTATTTAGATGGATTGCTAAATATCCAACTTTAGCAAAGCATTATTGATCTAGTTCCAGGGGAGAATATATGTACAGGCTATGGTAGGCTAAAGCTCAGTAGAATTTTTTTAATTTTTTTAGTGTAATTTTTTTCATTTTTCACAATTAGCCCACCCACTGATATTTGAGCCTAGTATAATTCCTATTCAGCCCAGGGCGTCTCAGATTCCTGGATCCGCCCATGTCTAGTTCTATTATCTATCATTGAGCTCACAATATGGTGGTGATGACTGATGCAGTGATGCGTTGATTGAAGGTCTTTTGATTGGAGATTTGATCTTTTGAGTTTTGACTACAATGTTTTCTCTGGGTTGTCTCGTCAAGAAACCTACCAGATATGGCATCTAACTACAACATGTGATCCATTTTGGTCATTCGTTAGGCTTCAATTATATGAATATCAGTTTTAAGATGTAGGATTCTCAGATTAGGCTTTGGGGTTGGTACAGTTTAGGGTTTTGGGATTCAAGCTTCGGGTTTAATAGTTTAGAGTTGGGGCTGGTTTAGTAGTTCACACATTAAATTTTTACATGCAAAACTTTTACATGAAAAATAATTGCAAATAATGTGTAGGATTGTAATCAATTTGCTTGTAAAAGAAAAATACATCATTTGGCTATCTATTTAATCTATTTTTAAATTACATGCAAACTCTTTAAAGTGTTTGTTTGAAAAATAATTTTACACGTAAAATATTTATAAAAGGACTACAAAGCCCATTAAGCAAAGCTGATGCGTGTGAACTAGGGATGGACTCGGGCCGGGCCAACCGGCCCGGAACCGGACCGGCCCGCTACTGTGCGGGCCCGGCCCGGCCCGGCGAACCGGTTCGGTTCCGGTTCGGGCCTCCAGGCCCGGTGGTATACCGGTCCGGGCCCGGGCCTCCAGTTTAGTGAACCGGCCCGGCCGGGCCGGGCCCGGTTCGGGCCGGAATTTAATTTTTTTTATTTTTTTTTGAAATTTTTTTAAGTTTTGGGTTGGATTAGGTATTTTGGGCCATTTGAGGTGGTTTGGGGTGGTTTGGGGTGGAGGGGGAGGGGGTTAAATAAGAGAAGAAGAAGAAAAAAAAAAACATTCCGGGTGGCCCGGCCCGGCCCGGCCCGGTTCTGGCCCGGAACCGGAACCGGAACCGCCCACCACCGGTTCGGGCTCGGGCCTCCTTTTTCTGAACCGAGGCCCGGCCGGGCCCAGGCCCGAACCGGGCCCGAACCGGAACCGGTCCACCCCTAGTGTGAACTGTGAAGCACAAATGTGTGACCATTTTCAATATATGTGCAAAGCTGTTCGATATCAATTTAGTATTAATAAACTAAACAATGTAATTTGTGTACATTTTAGAACTATTTTGAGTGGGTATATAACATAATCAGATAATTGGCGATAATTGTGATATTTTGAAAATATTATTTCCTTTAAGAGTGTTAAAGGTTTGCTAAAATAGAACATCCAAGTATCCAACAAAGGTAAGTCTTGTAATATCTAAATCTTTTTTATATAATTTGTTTAAATCTAATTCGAGACTTAATCAATCCAATTAAAAACACTCTTCATAATAAACTAATTATAAAAATCCTTGATACTTTGGTTTCATTTTGGGACATATGTAGTCCGGAGTAATACTTTGTATGTGTGTCAATGTTTACTGTTTAGTTGTTATCAATTTTTTAAAGCAGGCCAATCCAAATTACTCTCATTTTAGTTGATGAACTTGAAAACACTAACAAATTGTGTTTCTTTTTTACTTACATCGGGTCATCGGGATAAAACAATGCCACTTTGCTTCTGGTGCAAATTAAAACCAGATACATCACGCAAGGATACAAATACTACACAGATAACACACATAAAACTTACCTGCAGGCCATCATAAACGCTAAAACACTCTAAGAAAACTATGGTCATAAATATAATGACCATTAAATTATTTTAAAGCACAAGGACGATTTTAAAGCACAAGGACGTATCCGTTTTCGAGGACAAGCATTCTTCATCTATTTCTAGTCAGAAGCTCTTCCAAGAACTAATATCAAGCAAGCATAATGTGTGGTTATATTCAGAGTCTGCAATCTGTGTACTAGAAAAAGGAATGGTAAACTGCAATGTAGAGAAAGGATGTAAAAAGGAATGGTAAAACTGCAATGCAGAGAGAGGCTAATATGAAGCCATTGCCTGGAATTTCTTCAATGCATCACAATTTGGTGTTGCCTGTCTATACCCCCAATGCACCTGTTGGACTTCAAGACGGCAGTTATAAGCAAGATTATTGAAATAATCCTTCTCAATCCCGTCCTCTAGTTTCACCCGTTTCGGGCTGCTGGGAGGATATTCCTGCTCAAACTTTCCTGGCTTCACGTAATAATTTAAACCTCTGCGAGTAGTAAATAACTGCTCATAAGGGTATGATCTCGAGAACGAATAAACTGGATCTGATGAAGGCAAAAAGCTCATTAACGCAATCAGTATCACCGGCAAAAACTGAACCAAGGTCCGGGCAAGCCCGCTTGACCCATTATGTCCTCCGACACGGACCCCGACCCCAGGCCCGAAACTGAAATGGGTAGTTGCTACAGGATTTCCCCCAAAAAAGAAATTCCGGAAGATTTCTTCGGCGTCCACGTCATCATAGTAAAACCCTTGCCTCATTCCACCACCAGTGTGGCGTCTAGTTGTTTGCCTCTCATAAGTGGACGCATCATCTTCCCCAACAAGGTCATACCTTTTACGATTCTCCTCGTCACTCAAACACTGGAATGCCTTAGACACCATCTTAAAAGCCTCTTCAGACCCCGGGGCATTGTTCTTGTCAGGGTGAACCTTCAAAGAAAGCTTTCTATAAGCTTTCCGAACATCATCCATACTGCAACTCTTCTCCAATCCTAAAATCTCATAGTAATTCTTTTTCCTCTTGATCTCTCTCACAATTGCCACTTGCTCCTCTGTGTAACTAACCCCGCTTTCCGATGAGCAAGAAGGTGACCCCGGCTCCTTATTTACTGAACTCCTTCGTCTAGTCCTAGTTTCTGATGGTTTTGAAGATCCTGATGAGTCCTCTTTGGTGGGTATGTTCGGAGATTCATTCTCAGCCTCAATTTTAGACAACAGATCATCGGTTTTAAGGTTTGGGTCTAAACGCGTAGCTTTATTCAAGAATTTCAAAGCCCTTTCTTTGTTACCGGATTTGATTGAAGCTTTGGCTATTTCAAAGCACTTGAGAGCTTCATCTTTGTTCCCATCCATCTTTGTGAAACAAACAGATTCAATTTCAAGAACAGTGACTGTAAAGAAAAGAAAATAAACTCCTAAATCTATGTATAAGCGGATGGATCTTAAAATAGAACATTCTTGACGTAATACAGAAATAAAGGACGGAGAAATTGAGCTTACCGATTCAATTGAGGGGTCTCTTTTCGGATCGACCAGCCTAGTTTTCTGGGAACCAGGCGTACAATCCGAGGGCTTTCTGGCGAGTCGCGATAAAAGTTTCTTATGTAGAAACTCAGATTTGAAGAGGTGGTTGATTGAGGGATGAATTTGGATCCTGAGGAGACCAGGAAACTCCAACAAAATACGTGCTTCGTACTTCGTACTTTCGTAGTAGTATAAATGTATAATACTCGATATAATAATATGGGAAAGTTCTCGAAATGGGACTAAAAAAGTTTAAAAATTTCAAAATAGGGCTGTCATATTTTTATTCTCAAAATAGGACTAATTATTGCCAAATTTGGAAAATACTGCCATGTTTGAAGTCTGATACTGCCAAAACATGGCAGTAATTAGTCTTATTTTGGGAATAAAAACATGGAAGTCCTATTTAGGAATTTTCAAACTTTTTTAGTCCCATTTTGGGTAATATCTGATAATAATATTCACTTACTGTGGTTGGACTTTGCCAAATGCAAAGTAGGTGAGAAATAAGAACGGAAAGTTCCTGAAATAAGATCAAAAAAGTTTGAAAATTCTATAATAGGACTGTCATGTTTTATTCCCAAAATAGGAGTAATTACTGTCATGTTTGGAAAATATTGCCATATTTGAAGTCTGGTACTGCCAAAACATGGCAGTAATTAGTCTTATTTTGAAAATAAAAAACATGGCAGTCCTATTTTGGAATTTTCAAACTTTTTTTAGTCCTATTTTGGATAATATTCTCAAATTAAGAATAGTAAAAACTGTGAGGTTAAAATTTGTGCATAGGAGAGATAAATATGCAGAACCACAAATTAGTTGCTTTAGTAGGAAAGTGGCAAGATTTTTTGGGACAATCAAAAAGGGAAAGTTGGCAAAATCCAATGGGACAGAGGGAATACTTAATAGGGGTGGGCAGGGCCACACTGGTCTAGCGATCGGTCCATGTAGAAATGAGTTGATTAGCAAAAATATTTTTAGTTGGATTGTTTTCAATCGTAGAGCAGACCATATCAGACCTTATCAGACTAGATCAGACCAGGCCATATCAAATTTGGACAGTTCTAAAATACGCAAAGATCAGACATTATCAGATCAAATCAGACCAGTTCAGACCACCAGATCAGACCAGAGCAGGAAATTCAAGTCCAAATAAAAACATCCTAACTGATATCCGTCTGACAGTTTTGGGTCAGAACTATAACCATGGATTGGAATCATAACCAGATCGAGAGGATTTGTTGTTTTGGTCGGGAGTGGTTCAAATTATGAACCATAAACATTGTTCTGAATTGATCCTGTATCCAGCTCAAGTCTCCAACTTCTAGGCTACTCACACACACCACATAGGCTAGATCACTCCACCTCTCACAATATTTACTCTTTCACCCTTTCCACAAAGGACCTCTCGCACAAAGAAAGGTGAAGGAGGAAACTCTCTGTCTCACTCTATTTCTCTCGAGATCATTTTCACTAGAAGAAGCCAAGGATACTAATAATAGGCAGGTGGCCAAAATGGTAAGCCACGGGTGAGGCCAGACAAAAGACACTGCAACGGATAGCAAGCCAAGGGGCCGCCGCCAAGAGAAATCAACAGGAAATGAATGACCACAAAGAGAAGAAATTATAGGTATATAATAGAGGGAGTAAACATAAGATGCAAATCTTAAATTAAATGTAAGAGAGGCCTTAGTATGGCCAATGCCTCCAACATTCTTTACCTTATTAGTCCTAAGTGGTGTAAAGTAACAATACAAGATTGTGAGGATACTCATCATCGTCGGGTCACTCGGAATATCATGAAAGATAAAACAGGCAAACAATTAGTAAGCAAACCACAACTATTCAAAATCAAAGTTTAACACGCGTTTACAGGACAAGTGTTTCTCGGTGGCAAGACACTTGGTACCCATATCCACAGGATTAAACTCGGACGGTATCTTGCACAACTTGACTCCAACTGCGTCAACAGTATCACGATTAAAATGGAACCTAACATCAATGTTTAGTCCTATCATGATATACTGGTTTTTGCAAAATTGAATTGTCGATTGGCTATTCAAGAAAACAACAACTCCCCGGTTGAGAAATCCAATTTCGGAGACAAGGCTTTTGAGCTAAATAGCTTCCTTAAACGCTTCTGTGATTGCAAGATACTCAGATTCAGTGGTAGATAATGCAACAATGGGATGTAATTGAGATTTTCAACGAATGCAAGAACCAAACAAAGTGAACTCATAGAAAGTAATGGATTTCCTATTGTCTCTATCATTTGCATAATTAGAGTCAACATACCCAATCAACTGAATACCACTATAACACTTAGAGAAAATTAATTCATGCTTCACAGTAGATATCAAATATCTAAGTAACTACTTAAGAGCATTCCAATGAGGTACACCAGAGTTGGACATATATATATACTCAAACAACTAATCACATATGCAACATCAGGCCTAGTTCTAACCATAAGGTACATAACCGATCCTATTGCACTGGAATAAGGCACATATTTCACTTTCTCAATTTTAGGAGCAGTCTTGGGAGATTGGTCCTTATTTAACATAAAGTGAGAAGCCATAATGACACTCACAAGAGAAGCATATAACATATTAAATTTACTCAAAAATTGTTTCAGTGTAAGAAACCCGATTCGAAGTAAGAGTACACTTGCCCATATCCGTAGCAATGTTTATGCCTAGGATCCTCTTGACGTCACCTAGGTCTTTCATACCAAAATTAGCACAAAGCATTTTTGCACATCTTCAATGACTTTAAGAGAAGAATTAATAATAAGCATGTCATCCACATAAAGTAACAAAAATACAGACACATAAGAAGTATTTTTGATGTTCCATTGGCTAGGGGATTGCTTCAGGCCCTGCAAAGCACTCCTTAGCAAACATACATGTTCACTTCTCTTGGGATCCACAAAGCCCTCATGCATGTTGGGCCATATAAATCATTTTATCCAATTCACCATGCAAAATGCAGTAGTCACATCCATTTGTTTCATTTCCCCATCACGGTGAGCAACTGAAGCAGACATCATTCTAATAGTGGTGAACTTAACAACAGGAGCAAAGATTTTTGCATAATCTATCCCCTCTTTTTTAGTAAACTCTTTTTGCAACCAACCTAGCCTTAAACCAAACATCATTAGGTTCTTCCTTAACCTTCTACAACCACTTACACTCAACTACAGAACAGTTAGACGGTCTAGGGACAGGGTCCAAGTCTGTTTCACTCTCAAAGAGTATTTCTCACTCTTCATGGCACTAATCCACTTATGAGACTCTTTGGAACCTAAGACTTCTCTATAGTTCTTGGGTTCATTCAACTCTAGGGTTTCAAACACACAAAATGCAAACATAAAAGTATCATGCATATTGAAAGCTTAATTAGACATAATGTCAGCAATAATTCTAATGGGCTTTCTACTCCTATCTCCAACAAGTTGATAATTATGCAAATCATGATTAATAGGCTCCACATGCAACTCATGCAGATCGTTGCCATCATGAAAATCATATTCATCACTCACATCATGCAATTCATGCTCAACATCATGTAAATGTTCCTGTGTTCCACCTTACAAGGGATGGTGGGACTATCATGCTTAGAGGAATCATTATCATGCAAAACAGTCTCATCATTATTAACATGATCAACAAATAAAGGACTAGGAGCAATGGGGACAAACTCCACCTCACTAGGAGTACTATCAGACCTAGACTCAGGATTAGTAACAGACTTGGTCAAGCAAGGTAAATCAAATTCATTAAACTCCACATCTCTGCTAATGACCACCTCAAAGCCTACATTAGTCCTATCCCATAACCTATAACCTTTTACCGCCTCTGGATATCCTAAGAAGACACATTTCTTAGACATATGATCCAACTTGTCAACCTGTTGATGTGCATATGTTGCACAGCCAAACACCCTGAGGTTAAACATAGGGCTGGGTCCGGAAAACCGAAAACCGAATCAAATTAAACCGAACAGCGACCAAACAAAACCTAACCGTTAAAAACCGAAACCGAATGTAAAAAACCGAACCGTAGTTGTTTGGTTCGGTTTTGGTTTTTACCCTTCAAAACCGAACCGAACAAACCGAACTAATTAAAATATGAAATTTTATTTGTTAATTTTTAAACATTAATCCTAATATCATCAATAGTCTTTGATTTTTTTGTGCTACAGAAATAATATTATGTTTAGTTTAGTTTATAAATGCATTTACTCATTCATTTGTCCATAATAATGTAGCTATATTGATCGATTATGTCTTTTATGTATGTATGTATGTGTGTGTGTGTGTGTGTGTGTGTGTGTGTGTGTATGTATGTTGCAATTTGTTGCATGATTATTTTTTTTAGAGGTTATTTGTAGTAATTAAATTATATTTTTATGTAACTTACATTTTTTACATTGATAAAACAAATAAATATTCATCTCAGCTATATCACATATGATGTATGTATTCATGAACTTTTTTCAAACTAGTCACAAACAATGCAAATTAAGAATATATACACTTATATCTCTCCTGCATACTCATATAATCCAAGACATGTTTTTTATTCTTATTTTTACTTCACTTATTTTAGTATGCTTGTATTTTTTATGTAATATGTTTGATCCCTCCAACTATTATATCAATGTTAAATCAAATGACAAATTTTTGGTAAAAAATCGAAAGAACCGAAACCGAACCGAAACAAACCGAACCAATCAAACCGTGGTTCCGAGTTTTGGAGTGTAAAACCGAACCGAAACCGAACCAAATTTTTACTTTGGTTCCGTATTTGGTTTTAGGTAAAAACTGAACTGAAAGAACCGAACCCACCCCTAGTTAAACATATCAAGAGACTTACTGGTAAAGATGGTTTCAGGACACTTACCATCTAGAGGGACAGAAAATGACCGATTAACCAAACCGGCAGCATTGATAACTGCTTCAACCCATAATTTCTTAGACAAACCACAAGTAGCTAACATGCTTCTAACCTTATCCAATAGGGTCCTATTCATTGTCTCAGCTATCCCATTCTATTGGGGAGTATAAGGCACATTTTTGTGCCTTTTTTATCCCACAATCCACACACAACTTATCCATATCTTTATTACAGAACTCTAAGCCATTATCAGACTCAAGAGTTTTTACCT